ATTCTTGGCTGAAAAACTGGAAATTTTTTCGAGAAAAAAAAGGAAAAAGTGGTGGGAAGTTGGGAAAATCTAGGAAAAGGTAGGTAGCATGGGGAGGGGGTCATGTATGAGAATAGAATTAGGGGGATCGTACATGTGGATAGAATTAGGGCTCGTATCTCTTCAGAAAATGATCACAACGCGATGGCTCGCCCTGGGAGGGGGGAGGAGGGCGGTGCTGGTGTGAGCACGACCACCATCATGACTATTACGTGCTCGTTCCGCAGGTAGCATGCCTAGATACATCAGAATTTCCAATTCACTTAATCGGAATTTTTTTCCAAAATACCTCTGCCAATTCTTCGCAACGCTTCTGAGCAGCCGCTCTTGCGGCCTCCGATACCAACAATTGCTCATTCGCCAAGGCAAGCTCTGTCGAAAGTCCCGCGCTAGTGCACGTTAGATCTGCCTAAAAAACAACATATGAGAGAGACTACTTTTCAAAAAATGTCCAGTCCTTTAAATAACACAAACCTGAGCATGGACAGCCGCACGCAACCTCTCAAGCTCCTCTTCTTGAGCAAATAGCTGAAAAGTGAATCTTAATCAGTCTTACCGGGGCATAGACAAACGGTTGGAAAGGGTAAACGCCGCTGATGATTCCTTTCTAGGGACGTGGCACGTACTCAAGTCCCACTCAAGAATCTTAATGAATACGATGTGGCCTATACAATAATCGGAGGTGCACAGCCGATGTACAACTCAGTTCTTATCCTTTCAGACAAATCTGGAACCGATTCACCGTCCTCGTAGGGAGGAAAAGGCATGGACGGTTTGGCAGGAGCCGATCCGGGATTTCACCTCAGGACCGCGGCCGTGGCATACCTTCAACTTGCTACTACACCACCTCCGCCACCATCATCTACTACACCACCTCCGCCACCATCATCACTTAGAGGAGTTACTGGAACTGAGGCACTACTGTAGCTGCGATTCAGAGAGAAAAGCTGTCTGGTCGCGCAGCTGAGCTTGTCTGCACCTTTCATCACGGAAATATTTCCTTCCCTTACCAGACTCGCCTTGAAAGAGCGCACACGTCCGAACTGCAAGCGGCCAATTTGCCGCAAGGTTTCCCTACCCTCAGAGCACCTCCTTCCGCTGCGGGAAATTTTCGGAAAACATGACTCTCTCAATCCCCCCCCCATATTCTTCCTCTGCTACAACCCCTTCTCCACCCCAGCTACTATCTTGCTAACTTTTCCCAGCTTCCTCAACTTCTTCCCAAACTCATTTTTTCAATCAACGTGGGAGGGGGAGCGGGAGGGAGGGTCGATCACCAACTTCAACTATCGAAAGCAGTACTTCTGTAGTAACATTTCGAGGAGGAGAGCACCAGAGGGATTTTATCAAAAGCTAATCGACCCCTTGTAAGGAGAGGCAAATGCGACCACCACCACACCACGCACCCGATTAAAAATTTTTCCAAAGACGTGGATAGCGAAAGGAAAACAACTGTCAAAAAAAATTTATTTCTAACAACCAAACACGACCTCCACTCCCTACAGTGACCAAATGCGCCCCCTTCCCGCTGGTGATCCTAAGGCAGCGTTCAGACTCCGCGACAGCAGCGCTTCGGTCGCGCGTTCGACGCGATCGATGCAGTCGAAAGCATGCGCATCGATCGCGTCGAACGCGCGACCGAAGCGCTGCCGTCGCGAATTCCGAACGCTGCCTAACGTATGATGTGCTTTGTCTACACTACAGCGGTGGCAGCGATACTATGGAGGGCACAGTGAAAGACATAACATGCACAGCAAGCGAAGAGGCTTGTTAGGGGCGTGGAATGTGCCCATCCGCGACTGCGTTTTCTACCAATAGCCGGCAGGGCTGATTTAAGTCGTCAGAAGCATGGGTAGAAATGCAGCCGGGTAGATGGTAGGCAAGGAAAGGCTCATTCCACACTCTCTAGTACACCCCATGGCTTTGACGGCTGTGCACTGTATATACAATATACCTTAGCATGAAGATCCTCCTTCTGCTTATTATGCCTTTTCTTCAGGTCAGTCACAATGAACTCATAATCGGCTACGCTTCTTTCAGCATGTTCTTTAGCCCTCTCCATTTCCATCTGCAAAAATCACTGCCTTTCTTCACACATGCTCCTTGACGAAGAAACAACTTAAAAGTACCATGCAGTACAAATGACTCGTACCGCTAAGTGACACTTACCAGCTTCTTGTTGGTCTCGGCTAGTGCACTATCTTGCTCAGCTGACTGTTGTTTGAATTTATCAAGTTCGGCAGATATAGCACGCAAATCCTCATACAGCTCCGCTCTTTCAGCTTGCAGCTGGGCTAGGTTTTCCTTAAGCTGACCTTCTGCTGGAGATTTAGACCTTCGTTGTTCCTCATCGTGCAAAACTTTTATCTCATGAATCATAAAGGATATTCTGTAATAAAGACCACACTTGGGTGAATAATGGGAGAACCGAAAAAGATCAAGTTCGTACTCGGAGTCATTCATGTTGTACTTCCTCCTCTGCGAAGGAGTTGGGGATGACATCTCTGACCCATAACTCCTTGGCACGCTTGATTCACGAGATATGGTGGCACGTCGACCCCCTTCAAGAATTGGGGACATGTAACCTGAACACATAATGATTGAATACCTTCAATAAAACTGAAAAGACAAAGGGCTGGCGCACACTTTCGCGTGCATCATATCTTTCCTTATAAAGCTCGCCACTAACAGCATATCCTCACACTGTACCCTCTTGCCCACCTAGTTGTTACCACTAAAGAAGAGTATAAGATCAGGTAGCAGTAGGGAGAATATCTTAGCTCCATACGCACAGCGAGGTCAAAAAAAGACAGTCAATACTCATCAGGACGTACTCCTCAAACAATTCGGGAAATAGACACTTCAACAAATGGTCCAGTCCTCATGTAATTCAGAATGCGGTCGATATCCGAATAGACGTGGGTCCCTACCCCGCCTACGTCATGAGTGGCGCTCAAGTCAAGAAAGTAGTAAATGGAATACCAGTGAGCCTTATTAGTGAACTGAAGCAGCATTAAGCCTAATTTCTACAATCAAAAGATATAAAAAACATAGTAAGAGATTTCGTTCGCAACGAACCATTGAGCAGCATGCAGTGATAATGCAGACTAATTAGGGATCAAGGGATAAGATACCCGCCCATTTTTCGGGCCCAAGGCTCGGGCGTTGAAATTGCTCGTTTCTTGAAATGGATCCAAGGCACGCATCCGTTGGGAAAATTTCTTGCAAAACTTAAAATTTCACATTTCTGATACGATCCCCCTTCCTCATCCAGTTTAAATTTTCCCGAACATTCCAGCTTTCTCTCGAAAAAGCTCTCCAGTCTCCAATAAAGTACCGTAAAGAAGAGAGGGGGGGATGATAGATTGACAGCGAAACGGGAAAAAATCAGAGAAAGACAACAATCAACAACATTTCTTTTTTTTCAAAAGCGAATAAGAACTTCCTCTCTCCATCTGAAACAAGGCCCCCGATCACCTGCTAATGCAAACGTGCTCTGTTGATCTCGCCAGCGTATCCTTCTTTTCGTGCGAATGTAAACATGAGAGAATGATGATGCAATGCTGCGCAAGCTGTATGAGCTCATGGTCTTTCTTGTCTTGTCTCCGCAAGGCTGCATTCATACTTTGCGGCGGCGTCCACCAGCTGGCAGAGTATGTCGAAGATAGGAAAGAAGCAGACTGCTGGTAGAGAGAGAGTATGGGGTGATAGGAGGGTACCCTACCAGCTATCTGCTACCCTCCTATCGCTCCATGCTCACCACTCCTGGACGCAGCTCGTCGCTGGTGGACGCTGGGACGCTAGTTCGATACTTCTACTTTCCTAGCCCTCGGGACGCTGCTGGTTGCTGGTGGACGCTGGTAGACTGCTGGTCGCTAGATCGATATCTATACTTTCCTAGTCGCTGACGCTGCCGGACTCCGAAACGTTAGTAGTCGCTGCAGGACGCTGCTGGACGCTGCCGCAAAGTATGAACGCAGCCTAGTGGGAAGTGCAGCAGTTAAAAAATACTCACGTGGAATTGCTGAATATCTTGCTGAAACGCCACCATCCATCATTCGATCACTACTTCCAGACTGAATATCTCCACCTTGTAATTCTTCAACATCTTCCGATGCCACAGCAATTGGTGACGGCTCGGAGAGCATTGCCTCAGTATTTAAGTCTTCGAGTACATCGTGAGCTCGTACAACATTGACCGTATCTGGCAGGCTAAACGCTTCAGCTTCAGGTGATCGCTGTGAGCTTTGGACAGCGCTTCCCTCAGTCACGGTCTCTTCGTCTCCGATCTGGAGTGATTCCTCAGGTCGCGAAAACCTGTCTTCCACTTCTGATGTACCATAATGAGCAGGAAAAACGTCATCGTTTGCGTGACAAGCTGTTACTTTAGACTGGTAGACAAAGAACCATCATTGTGTCGTCAATAGCTGAGTCCATAGCAAAATCGTTGACAACGGCTGCATTGTTGCCGTCCGAGAACGATCTCTCGCTTTTCTCATAGTCGCTGTCACTCGCTATCTTCAACGGTTCGGCAAACACCAGTTCTGTCTCATTGATATCTTTGACATATGTGAAACTCTCCTCTTCCAATGGTTTAATTTCGTCGCCTCCACCAGTGCTGACACTGCTTCGTACAGCCGAAGTGAAAGAAAAATCTGAGGGGCGGCCAGATATACAAGGAAGAGTTTCTTTCTGTGGAGATCCTGGCGCATCCACACTCAAAACTGAGACATTCACAGATCCCTAAAATTTCGAATATGAGGTGACCATTTCTGCTCCTGAACAATTCATGCGCATGTCCCGTTCATAACGAGGACGTGGCTGCGTGTTTCGTACGCGAACGTGACAGAAGCTTTTGATGGAATGTTGTCATTTTGGGACAACTGTAATCATAACTTTGTACAGCCCAAGCGAGGATTACAGCTGTTTCAAACGAAACACCCACAGAATAGACATCCTATGCCAGGTTTAACCAATGTGCGCGGCCACGCCCTCCTCACCATCGGGATAAAGTGTACAAACAGCACTTACCGCAACTTCCGTCATGGCAACAGTTTTTTCTTCTACAACCGCACTCAATAACTCGCTGGCCAGGCTTGGTCCCTAAAAGAGATTTTTGGAAAGTTCGAAGTATCAGAGCTTAATTCTCGGAGGACATTCAATCGCCATTTTGGTTCGAGAAAAGCTGCCATTTTAGGTGAAAAGAGGACTACTGAATTTGCATGTCCACCGTTTTGACGAAGCAGAGTATGCCAAAACACTGTCGACGACGACGAAGTGATGTGAAGACGACAGCTTTCCAAGCTACTGTAAAGTCCGAGGTAGTTGAAGGGGACAAGCTCAGTCCGGTAAGAGACTTTATAGGCTGTTTGAAGGCGGCAGAGGTGGCAGACATGCAAAAGTCATGTCATGCGCCCTAATACCCCACCACCTCAACAACGTTATTGCTTGTTAGCTATAATGGCAAAGCTATAAGTGGAGAGCGGACCGAACTGCGACGAGTCGCTGACAAGGGATGCTTACTGAAATAACAGAAGTTGGGGGCTTGTAGGCAGGTTCTGCCTATGTTCCTTCTGATCGCCTATCGCGTTGTCAGTCATGCTGAGTCAATAGGCCTCTCTAGCAACATCAACCAGAGAGGCCGACCGCTCAGGCAAGCTCATTAGGGCATCCTTAAACAGGTCGTTTCTTTGTCTGGTACTCTCCAAGGGCGAGTGTAGGAAAAGGCAGGAACTTTAACTCGTTGAGAGGCTGCAGATGAGTAGGCTCATTCGAGCAGCCATGTTCCCCTCTCCAGCTCCTCTAGCAACTCATACGACAGTGGGACAAGGACCCAAAATAAAAAAAGCAAAAAGTAGGGGAAAAAGAGGTGTGACGAAAAAATTACAAAACTTAACAGTGTAAGTATATGAGCATACTTTCATAGGATTCTCTGCATTTAGGAAATAATAGCAACTTACTTCGTCCTTCAGTGGAGACGTGCCTTTGCGTTCACATAATACAACAGCCTCCACGGAAGCAAACACTGCGTCGCCCTTAAGTGGCGCTTCTTCTCGAGTAAGACCCTGCTCCTGTACGTCTGCTTCACACTTTATCTTCGTAAAGTTATCATCAACCACATGCGTCACCTCTGGTTCCTCCTGAAATTACGAGTTCTTCCAAGAAATCATAGGAAAACTTGTGGTTGGCGTTCATACTTCTGCTCCAGCCGTCCAATCAAGCGTCCGCCAGCGGACTATAAAGTAATGGATCGATCTAGCGAAGCGGCCGCGCATCACCAGCTAGATAGCAACGGTTTTACGCGGGCACTTTTGACTCGATGCGAAATTGCCTGGCGAAAATCGCTGCCTGTACGCTCGGTGGATACTGGCTGTTCGCGCTGAGATCGAGGTAACGTACATCCTTAGTTTTCAACCGGCTAGTGGAGCCTTGACGCATAAGTATGAACGCAGCGCGGAGACACCAAGCGGGTTATCTTTCTCCTTTTAAGCCAGACGATACAATTTTTGAGAAGTTTGTGTCTCCTTCATCTCAAAAGCGCGCAATGTTGTGTTTGATAAGTACAACGCAGGTTCTCTCTTACTGTTTTCATTCGTCGTTGTTCACGTCCATATCAATAACTCGTTGATCCACTGTTCGACTCCTCACCAAAGGTTTGATCGCTCGACCGGAACAACTTTTACCACTTTTCTCGGCAAAGGAACAGTGAAATTACACGTAGGAAGTGTGGTTGCATGTCTGTGCTTAGCGTAGTAGTTGACGAAGTTGGGATGGGGCAGAGGCGCCAAATTTGTGCCCCATTCCCCAAAAAGGTCTTGGCGTGAGCTTTCGCAGAGTTCAATACCCAGTAGTCACCTTACCCAGTCAGGCTGAGGTGACTACTGGGTATGAACATCACCACCCTGCTCGTCCATACCCTCTCACTGAGCTCGTAATTTATTCTTCTTTCCAGGCTCAGCCTTAGAGCGCGCTATACGATAAGGGTGGAGACGTCCTGGTCTTCCGAACTTCTCCACTACATAGGGGCCAATCTATCGGTACCACGTGACAAGTGGGACCCAGACTGAATCAGTTTCTCTGGGTTGCCTAGCGCTGACATCCGCCTAGAACCGCGCAACGTGAATAACGATATATGCTGTAAAGCGTATCTACCCGCCGCTAAGGACAGCCACAACATCCTCGTCGCTCATTATGGAGTCGCCAAGGCAGCGTTCAGACTTCGCGACGGCAGCGCTTCGGTCGCGCGTTCGACGCGATCGATGCGCATGCTTTCGACTGCATCGATCGCGTCGAACGCGCGACCGAAGCGCTGCCGTCGCGAAGTCTGAACGCTGCCTTGGCGATTCTATAATGAGCGACGAGGGCGTTGTGGCTGTCGTAAGCAGCGGGTACATACGGTATAAAGCCCAGGCAGACCAAATAAACCAGAAAGAAATCCTACCAGTTGGTTGGCATGAGATCTGTCTCTAACGAAAACAGAATTGTTCCATTGTTTGTGAGCATTGTAGGGGACATACAACAAGAAAGAAGGGCGCAGTTCGACGACGAGAGGGGAGGGGGGCACTTTGTTCTTTCCTTCTTCCCGTCGACGTGTCAAGGCAAGGCAGCCAGACGTTTCATGCGCTTACAAAAGTTGACAGGTTTTACCATGGTGCTTCACAAGCTTGCTCCAGCTTCACAAGAGTTCACAGGTTTCACCAGAGTGAGACTTGTAAACCGGAACTAGTGAAGCAACGAAAAACAAAATAGCTCCCCCCCCTCGTTGCCGAACTGCGCCGAAAAAAGCATAACTAACTCCCGTAGACTTTTTCTGAGATTTCAGACGAGACTGATCGGGTAGTACAACCTCTGGTAAAACAAGAGGTTCTGCGAAATGTTCTTCACTAGGACGTGGAAAGTTTAAATTTTCCTTAAATGATTTACATTTGCGCAAGGCAAATTCGTAGCAATTCGGAAGAAAAATAAGGTCGTGAATAGAACCACAAATAAAATGAAAACATTATATGAAAAATGACCCACCACTTGGGCTACTATCTCCCCACACATCACAGACCGACGCTCCACAAAAGATTCTTCAATATTCGGATCCGCGAAACATGCAGTGGAACTAACGCCGGCAGGAGTTGGAGGTTCTGAAGCGGAATTTTCAGCGCGGCAGTACGGAAAATCCTTTTCAGGATAAACCTTGAGTAATAGTTTCGTCAAGCTCCGCCTTCACGCTGGACATGTTGAAAGTTTCGTCTACAAGCTGCGTCGCTTCCAAATTTGGATCTCCCAAATCGCGAAGTGGTTTTGCCTGAAATCGTATTTATGGAGGGTTAGCACCATGAAGTTGTACCTAATCTAAAAATAAATCTAAATCTAAATCCTATCTAAAAATTAAGCTGTAACAAAAATGAATAGAGCACAATAGTAGAAACGAAAAGGTGACTAAAAGGCGCTCTCATGAGTAGGTCTCTTACCCCGTCACTAGAAGATAACCCACTTCGCTAGTTCCTTTTGCTATTCCTGTCATGTCTTTTGGTAGGATCGTAGACTTTCGTTAAGGCAATCCCTACGCTCGAGCAATTCGTAGGCATCCTTTCTTGTACAATCAGCCCGGTCCTTATTCTCTGAGATTATTCCTTTTTCGCAACTTCACAGCAAAAAAAATGCAGGCACCCGTGATCCCTCAGGAGCGCCGGGTACGACGCTACTTTAATTGTCCCGCCCACCAGAACTCCAAGGCTATTTTGGTCATAAGTCTAGAGTTCGAACCCCGTTTTTCGTTTTTTTTTACTGTAAGATGGTAGCAATGAGGTCCGGAAAACTCGTCTAGGGACTGCCAGTTCCTTAGGGTGTCCTCATTATTTTTTTTTTTTGTTCTGCTTTTTTTCTAACTTGGAGACAACTATTTGGAGACTATAGGTCGCAGTATCTACAATATACTACGATCGCGGGGTTTGACTTATAAGTAAAGTAAGTCTGTACTATTGCTCTACAGGAAATTACGGGTTATGAAGGCAGTGACCGATGAGAACCAGCAAAATGCAGGTGACCCAGTCCAGCTGTTAAGGTGAGGTTGCAGTACCGAACTGTTTAGTCAGACCCTCTCTGCAACATCCAGAAGGAAATGTAGCGTAAAACGGTCCACAGCTCCCACGAAAAA